CAAATAAAATGTGCACTTTTGCAAAAGAAAACTAAAGAGCTATAAGCTACCTTTGTTTACCATGCTCACTATGACTTAGGGCCCCTACAGTTCTTTACAGCCAATTGAAGTTTGCTATTGCATGCACATCATCATATGTGATTTCACGTGCTAATGTGTGGTATTTTGCATGTTAATGTGTGCCGTGTTCAGGCAGTTCAATCACTATGAACCAAAGTATTGCAACATACTAAAAACAGGACCTGCAGCATTTTTTTTAACACAGTGTGCAATGCATGTGCCATGTGGTGCACTGTTGGCATCTACCGTACTTGTGTGTTTGCATTAATCTAAAGCATAGATCTAAAGGGACCCTAAATCATGCAGGTCTAACCCCACCTACCATGTCATGTCCACTAGAGATAAGCTATGCATGCTGCAACACCCCCTTCCATGGTTAGGTTTTTCATGAGCCTAAAGGTGGCAACCCCAGCCACTTCATATATGGAAGTCCAGGCACAGTCCTACCACCCTCAGGCGTTATTTCTATGCACTACTTAAACCTAAAACGCAAATGATCTCCTTAGGCAGCTATGTTACAAGCCTGTGGCTTCGGAGGGAGAAAATAGTGACTGGACAGAGTTTTCCTACTTGTCTGATCACTGTTCCTCTCAGATGAGCCTCAGTTTGGGTTGGGGGGGACACTTTAGTATCTTTGAATCGGGTGTATAAGGACCTTGTCCCACCACTAGACCAGGCTGTGCCATTTTTTGCATTAACTACTACTAGCACTGTCTCAATGAAACAGCTGAAGTTGCTCCTTTCATTGGTGGGGTGAAGTGTCAGATCGTACGGGGCCTGGAAATATCTTATTCAGCTCCAAAGAAAAACAATCGACTCATTTTGAATCTCCCCATAGCATCTGCTATAAATAACCATGATGGAGATATCACAATGTAGTAGTCATGCCCTTTGCATAGCATCTGCCTGTCACAATCATCTTTCAGTATGTCAGTCAGATTAAAAACAAATGGACAGATTAATGGAGCAGAGAAGATAGTTACAAAGAGACATATCTGGAGTCATACTTTCACATCATTTTAATGAAAGAAACAGAGGGGGAAGAGTAAAGGATCCAGTGTGGATGCAACATAACCATAGAAAAATAAAAACAACCAAGTAACAGATACAACAATAAACTGTGATCCTAACAATGTTATAGAAGATATATAAAATCATGAGGAAAGGAAAGTGAATTGTTGTTTGTAGTAACAAGATTTCAGTTGTCAATTTTGTAGAGCACATTAGCAAATTAAATATTGGGGTTCATCCCACCAGTGTTGTCCAATGTAGTCCCAATGCATAGACACGGCCTTATCTGGGAATGGGCCCTTATGCCTGATCGACCCCTATGAGCATCTCCTTCACATTTATATACTCAGAGGGGCTGATTTACTAAAGAAAGAAAAAAAAGTAGAGCATGTTCACTTTGCAAAGTGATTTTCACTGAGCTTAGATGGATAAGGTGAATAATACCCAATCATGTGCAAGGAAAACAAAAAACCCATAAAACAGGTTTTTAGCTTGTACATGATCGGGTGATTGGAGTCGGCACGGAGTCACCTCATTTACCAGGATAACATAAGATTGACTTGCAAGTGAACATACCCTATCCCTTTAGTTAATCAACCTGCGACTTCAACAAATGTCAAATTCGTAGTCCCTTTACTCTAACCTTGTAGCTCCCCCGGCTTGTTCCTGGAACCTTGGTCATAAACAAAGCCAACGTGATTATTTTAAAAGTGAAAATCCCTGAAAATGTTTGGATTGTTCATAAAAATAATATTCTTAAAGCTGAACTCTTAGCAGATATAAAAGACACA